CGCGGTCGCGTGCCAGAATCTCTCGATGGCGCTCCTCCAGAAGGCTGTGGCGGAGTGTCATGATAGTATTTAATATGCTCTTTAATATGGTGGTAGGGCGCAGTTTGTCGACGGGGGGCATTTTGCTTTCCATAGATGTGTCGACCCATCTAGGTAGCCGTTTCTCGAGTTGACACGTTTTAGGATAGTGGCTAGACGATCTTACTTCAGCTTCACAAGAGTTCACAAGTTTTACCAGAGTGAGATTTGTAAACCGGAACTAGGGAAGCAATGATAATACAAAATGCCCCCCGTCGACAAACAGCGCCGAAGGGGCATGTCCGGCGAGATGGGTTTGACGTCGCGCGGAACCCGTCAAGTCTGACAAGTTCCTTCATTGGTTGCGAAGAAAATTTCTGCCAGATACGACCCCACTCAAATTTCAACTCCAGTACGCCCCCCCCCCTCCCTTGTGCCCCGCATGCACCACAACCACCAAGCATCTTATCAAGTTCTATCCAAAAAATTTGTGTTGAGCGAGGTTATCTTCAATCAGCTTGTGTGGTCTGCTGCTTTCCTCTGGGCAAATGCTTTAGGAGTTGTTGTCCAATGTGGCGCCGTCATGCTTTTCCGATTCAAGCCGTTGTTACTGCTGTGGAGAGAATGAGATCAAGGTTACCCGCGGCTTTGACCCTACTAAAACGAGTTCACATTAATTGTACACCTCACGACGATCAGATTGTCCTCAGTCAGAGGACGTCGCGGTTTTCCGTGTAGGGGAAGATTCCCGAACGTGATTTTCCCGTTATATGCGCACTCATGGTGCGGAAAAGGCGTTGTACTGAAGTTGAAGTGTTTTAAAGGGTCATATTTCGAGGAAATTCTCGCCAATGCCAGGGCCTGCTCACATGTGTTATGAAGTGGCCTAATGAAATGGAACGCAGTCCTCCTCTTCATTTGCCTGCCGCTTGCGAGGGAATTGCTGCGGCGGAATTTTCCCGTTTGCCTCTGAGTTAGGGTATGTCGTGGATTCTGATGGATTCTCATTCAGACCCCACCGATTTTGCGGTGGATGATGATCTGCTAGCACAAGCGATGAACTTGGGATTTTCAGAAGCCGACTCCAGAGCCGCACTGCAATTGACAAGGTTCGCAATTTTTGCTTTAGTTCATGTGATCTTTTCCTCCACTCCTATTCCTTATTATAGGAACGACCTTGAAGCGGCATTGCAACAGCTCTTCTCCAAGGCAGACGAACGAGCACAAGCCATGGAGCACTGATTTCCACGTCTTTCATCCCAATGTAAATGATGTATGTAACCATTACTTTCACAACGAACTATGCAATATTGTAATGACACATCATGCCTTTACACTGCATGTAATATATACGAGTCCTTGTCGTCATTCTTTCGTATAAAGGTATGCCATGCAGTGAAGTTGAGAAGTGTGTGACAGGAGGAATCACAGGTTCATTCCCACAAGTACTATGGAGCAAAGATAGCAAGCGTCTGACTTGACCTTCTATTTGCGAAGGTGTAAAGCTGGGGATTGTGGTCACACTTCGCGTCAGCGTACGGCAGCGTATTGACCGTTTCACGCAAAGGCCAGCGACAAGGCAAGTATACGTTTCGTTCTAGCGCACGCCATTGTACGCCAGCGACTATGAAGTATTAATATCTATCTAGAGAACGCCGGCATACGGTTACAAGACATCTTTCAACGCGATGCTCTCTCGCTGCGAGGGTCTAGAGGTGCTTTCTCGTCGCATCTTCCGGTTGAGAGTTCAAAGGAGGGGAAATTAGAAAGAAGGATGAGCGAAGAAAGGAAGGAAAAAGGAAGGAGATTGCTCAAGCTCGAACTGCCCGCGGAAACGCTGGTATGCGCTGGCGATCCATACCTATACCTTCTTAGTCAGTGGCGCTGGCACATGCTCGGAACGCTGCCATACGCTGACGCAAAGTATGAATGCAGCCTGGCCTATGAGGCTGACATGTGATTACGCGGTATTGTTTCCATGCATAACTCAGTCTTTGGTGGAAGTCACTGATATGTTGAATAGACTGGAATGTACGAAAAACCGACTGGCGGCTGCAGCATTAAAAAGAATGAATGGAATGTAGCTTTATTTCAATGGGAATTGCCCCAAAACTATTCACTGGGTCAATGTGAACAGTTGAGCTTGGGCGTCTCAGGATACCTGTCAACCGTGTAAACTCCTTCGTTCCTTTCTCCTCCTTCCTTCTATTCCTTCCCTCTTTCTCTCTTGCGTCTTTCTCGTTCTCCTCCGTTGGGATGTTCACTTGCTTCATTCACAGCTTCGCGGAACTTCATAAATCTCGCACTATAATATAAGTGAGTCTTGTTATCTATTAGGAACTGGCAAAAGGGATTAGTGAATGAAGATGTACCTCTAAGCCGCTCTGCCATCATTCAACTCGTGCATGGCAAGAACCGTCCATTGAAGTTTTGTTTGAGAGAAGCTGCGGGCAGAAGATATGTGTGGTACAAAATCGGATCAAAGGCAAACTGTACACTCAACTCCGTGGACTCTGATCTTTGCCATG